AAAAAAAAAAAAAGATATACCGGCTCTCGTCCGATCACCGAAGTCAAAGCTGAGTTGGGCGCGGATAGTACTTGGATGGGTGACCGCTTGGGAACTCCGCGTGCTGTTGGCTTTTTTTTTGGTTTTCTGTTTTATTCAATATAAAATCCAACGATCGTAATCTAAATACAATAAAAGAAGCTTTGGACAATAGCAATGCTGAACTTTTCATTTAAAAGAAAGAGGGAAACGGGGGAAAAAAAAAGAAGCCAACAGCACGCGGAGTTCCCAAGCGGTCACCCATCCAAGTACTATCCGCGCCCAACTCAGCTTTGACTTCGGTGATCGGACGAGAGCCGGTATATCTTTTTTTTTTTTTTTTTTATTTTTTTTTTTTTATAAGCTTTTTATTCAAAACAATGTACATGAGATATTTTATACATTGCACGGTAGTGAATAATCTATAATACAAATTGCGCTTAACGGAGAAGGTATGGTTGAGAAGTTCAACGCTCGCCAACATATCATAACAAAAATTTTTTTTTTTTTCTTCTTCATAATTAACGCTTTTCTAAACTAAAAGTCCCCTTGCTCTTGGGTCCAGTTCTAATATCAGTTTACTACTACACGTATCCCTGTCGTTAAAAAGCCCTGTGTAAGGTCAAAACGTGCGAAGCCAGAGAGAGGTTTCGGATCTCATAATTTTGGATTTACCGTAATTCTAAAATATTGCACACACATACACTCCTGTCACATTCACTCGTCACCCACACACTCATTCCCGCGACTTATTATAACTAAACTAGAAATTTACTTACTATTCACATTAGTATATACATATGTACACAACAACTACAAAGTTTAGATAATACATAGTCTTTGGTTAATTATTCAGTGGTTACTCGACTAGCCACCAATATTTCTCCTTCTTCGGGACGCGATTCCCGCGTACATTTACTTTTGGTAGAGCTGTGTTATAAACTATTTTGTGGGTTGTATTTTTGCTGTCAATGTGCGGTTCATAAGCTATTTTTTTGTTGTTAGCATTGCTTTGTATGTGATATAAAATCGGAGTATTGTTTTTGTCGACTAATCGACCCGTTTTATCCAGGTATATAAATGCCTCCGGGGGGATGTACCCTGACTCCACTGCGCTTTTGTGGAATTCATCTTGGGGATACAAGGCACTACAGATGAGAGGATTTGATTTGACATTCCTGACGTCGGCGAAGTAGTTTCGTGCTAAGCGAATAATAAAGGAATCGATGCGCGGTACTCCCGCTGTTTCATAGAGCGTTTTGGCACTTACGTAATGTTTATAATTAGAGGCTTCACTTCTGTATAGTCCTGTACAGGCACGCAGGCATTTTCTTTCGAACGCTCTCAGCTTCTCCATGGTAGGAGGGTTTACGTTAAACCAAATTGGACAACCATAAGTTAATATAGGCCTAATGAGTACTTGATAGCATAGCGTTTTTATTTTACTATTTAGCTTCTGTGATAGGAAAAGCTTACTGATAGCCTAGAAAGCTTTCCTCGCTTTTTCGAGTTGAATGTTAACGTGATTGTTTAGGTACAGAAGATCATCAAAATACACTCCTAGGTATCTGACTACCCTTCTGTGGGGAATTTTCGTCCCGTTGGCCGAAATGTGGAAATTTTTATAGCTACTTCTGAACGCTTGAGATTGGGATTTTATTTTTTTCCTGAACAAAATTGTTTCGGACTTAGACGGATTTATTTTTAACTTCCATGTTTTGTAATAATCTTGAATTTGGTCAAATAGTTTTTGTAGCTGTTCCTGTAGCTTTTGGACGTTTTTACCTTCTATATAAATGACTAGGTCGTCCGCAAATTGTATTGTTTTGATAGACTGCGAAGAAGGTAAACCAAAAAGTTGCGGGAGTTCGGAATTGTAAAAGTTAAATAAAATGGGCGCTGTGACCGTGCCTTGCTGGAGCCCATTTTTGAGCTGCAGTGTCAGGTCAGATTGGGCGCCATTACATTCTGTGAAAAACTTTTTTCCATGTATCATGTTGGCTATGATCTTCACCAGGTGAATGGGACATTTCTTTTTTAGTAACTTAAAGATTAATCCTTGAATCCACACGGTGTCAAACGCTTTCTCGATGTCTATTAGGCATGCAGCTACACTCTTCTTTTTAAACAACGCGTGCTGTAAATCTGACATAAATTTATGTAGCGCGTGGACTGTACTATGTTTATGTCTGAATCCGAACTGGGTGTTCGGAATTGTCTTGTTCACCTCTAGGAATTTTTCAAAGCGTTCCTTAATAAGGATTTCAAAGACTTTTGATATGTTTGGGACAAGGCTGATGGGTCTGTAGCTGTTAGGATCTTCGGGATTCTTTCCTTTTTTTTTAATGGGAATGACTTTAGCTAGTTTCCAGTCTTCAGGGAAGTAGCAATTATTTAGACAGTGGTTGAAGATGATACTGTAACCAAATATAGCTATGTTGGGGAGCTTTTTGAGCACTATATTGGCGATTTGGTCCGGACCCGTCGATTTTTTGCAATTTAGCTTACGGAAAAGTGTCGCTGTATAACCCGGTGTCGTGAAGTAGTTGGTATCGGATTCGAATGTCGGGTTGCTCGCTAGGTTCGAGCTCGAGAAGTTAATTAAGTGGTCATTATTTTCGTTATCCCTCTTCAGACTGTCCATGAATGTATTATAGTCTCTTTCAATAATTTCGGATAGTCGCGGTTTACCTAACCCCTTATTTCCTGCGTTAGCCGTCGCGAAGTTGGATGCGAGGACATTTAATTTTTGGGCTTTGTTTGAAATTATGAAATCTCCCTTTGAGTTTTTTGGCTGTCTAAACGGATCAATGTTGGCCTCCCGTAATAGGTTGTCTTTGTCTTTTTTTATAAGCAGTGGAGGGATGTCCAGTGAATCCTTTTTTCTGAATATTGAATTTACTTGTGGGAATGTTTTTTGGCTACCGAACGGGATGTTTCTAATTTTATTTTCCCAGTGCATGTTGACTGATTTTTGGAATTTATATTTGATTTTTTGTTTACACTGTTTGAGGAGCGACTTGGCAGTGGATATGGAATGTGTGGAATTTGCCGTGGGGTGTCTACGTGCGTCATTAAGTGTCATTAATAGGGAGCTTTTTATTTTATAAAGATTTCTGATTTCTGTGTTTAAGTACAGTTCCGTCGAGTTGTAGTCTGGTAAGGTCGGTACCTTTCTTTTAATCTCTAGTAAAATGGTTTTTGTAATTTCTGTCAGAAAACTGTCTATCTCTTGATTCGTGATGTTTCTGTCGAGAGGTATTTCTATGTTCCAGCTGTTTGTTAAATCTGTTTGGAATTTCTTCCAGTCCGTCTTAGCGTAGTTAAGAGGACGCTTCGGGGACACAAAAGGGATAAGGTCTCCTGTATAGGGTAAAACTATCGATATGCTGATTGCTCGATGGTCACTGTCAAAGTCGATTGTGGGGATGTCCATGTCCGTGCTGTTAATTAGGTCTAATCTGCTATCGATGAGACCAATATCGATGTGGGCATTACTACGGGGAAAGGTGGGTCTCTTGGTAGCAAGCAGTTTGATTTTTTGCTGCAGGACATTGTCATTGATCCATTTGTTTAGCGCTCTACCTCTACCGTTGGTTTAAAGGAAGAGTTGTTCCAAGCCGGGTGCTTTGCGTTGAAGTCACCCGCAAAAATATAGAAATTATTTGGGTCTCCCCACTCTAGCGTTTTGCTCAGGTAGTCAAGTTCGTTTACGAATTCATCGGCTTGGGAACCCGGTGCATATCCCGCTGTGACAATTATGTTTTTTTTGTTTTTAAGTTTTATTTTAATTGACAGGCACTCTATTACTTTCATTTCCTGCGGGATGTCAATAATCTCGTGTTATATTTGTTTTTTAATTAATATAGCCACACCTCCACCATTACTGTTAACTCTATCATTTCTAAGGAGCGTGTATTTTTTGAAGTTCAAGGAATGAAGAGGCTTTAGCTCCGTTTCGTTGAGGAGTAGGATGTCTGGACACTCGTCTTTTAAAAGCTGTAGAATATTGTGTCTCCTCTCGTTGGAAACTATGGAATTTACATTCGCGAATATAATTTTGATCTGTCTGCTAATATCCATTTTTGTGGTTACAGGAATCCTCGTCGGAGGTTATTGTGTTTGTGCCATAGAAAGCACTGAAAAGTTTTTCTATCCTGTTCGTGTTTGCATGGATTTGACTTTGGAGGGAATTGACTTGTTGTAGTAAAAAGGACTTCATATCGTTAAATAGAGCTTCTAACGGTATTTGCGTGTTATTTAATGTTGACCTACTGGGTATTTGAGAGTTAATGATTTGGTTATCTTGCGCGGCACTATGAATTTGGCTCTGATGTGGGCCCGGCGGTGGTCCACTCGCTACGCTCGCGTAGCTCCTGTGCGGTTTGGCAACTTTAACGTTTAAGAGAACCGGTGTATCCTGACTAGTATGGCCATTGGCTGATAACAATTAATACTAATTTTGCTTTTCTATGTGTTAGCATATCCATTGCAGTTATTTTTTTTTAATATTGAATGCAATGTATTACTTGTGAAAACTAGGCCACGTCGAGAACATATTAAATATAATTAATTTTTTGTTATGGTATAATGTTTTGTTTATATAGTAACCCAAAGTATGAGAAAACTGCATTACCAGACAAACCATCATGTGGCGAAATTTCAACTTGAAAAGTTTATTGGATTTTAGAATTAAGGTTCCACTTTAAAACTGCAGAAAAATATGTAAATTCCGTATGTAATCAAATGATACTTCTTACAATTAGAACCATGCGTTAATGAAAAAACATGGCCACGTAGCCCTTTCACAGAAATAGTGTTATTGTTTGCCAGCACTTATAGCCGCCATTTTTAATCCAAATTGTTTATAAAAACTTACAAGCCATCTTCGAAACATACATAATAAAGCGTTTTTTATTCTGACCTTATAACTTGTACGATCATTACTTTAAAAACTCACGAAAATTCCCTTTTTCTCTTACTTCTAAAGTGGTGTTAGATAGTTTGTTATCAGTAACATTGCAGGGGAATGCAACATCTGGAGGTAGTTGTTTTTGAAGCCGCTGTAGATAGAGTCTTGTAAATCTATGAAGCTGGTCTCCACCTGAGCAACAATGTTTCATCACGTGATTAGTGAACGATCGCTATATTTTTCCAGGTATTCACATATAAAATTTTTTGCTTCCATATTATTTCTCTCCGAGGTCTATGTCACGTACCTTGATGCTTAGCGCAAAAAAAAGCTGTAATGTTTGTGACAGAGTACTTTTTATTGATGTAAGTACACTTATTGCAAAATCTTGAGTAAGAATTTATTATACTGAAAATCTTTACTTAGAATGAGATAGCATAACTTCTTTACATCGTGCGCTATTTCTAATATGTATACATATAAAATACGATGAACCAAATAAGTAAAAATTTTTACCGAAATCATTTTATCCGGTTATACTGAAAGAAATTTGTCGCATTTCTGCAGTGTGCACACTGAATATCGGCCTAGCATTACAATCTACGACGAATTCCTAAAAAATACTCGATTTCATGAAGAGGTCTATACTATAAACGTCTTTATCAAATTAAAGAAAGTAAGAATGAAAGGTCCTGACTTAGATCATAAATTACATGTTTTTCATATTGCGGCATTGTGCGACGTCGAAAGAGAAATGCCTGAGCTCACTGATGCAAAGTTGTTGTTACGTACCAAAATTATAGAAGAAGAGTCCCATTCCGTTTTCTGGGCCGCGATCAGCACGCATGATAGAACGACACACAAAAATTTCAGCATGATTCTTCTTTCAACTCGATACCAAGAGTAACTCTTACCGTACGTAACCACCAACACTAACTGGAGTCTCTTTCAAGAGTGTAGTGTGACTACTAACGACCACTCCCAACATCACTACAATGTGATATGAACACTACTACAGCGTACATCCAGGGTATGCGATTATAGGTGGACGTAGTTAGGGTTAAGTTAAGGGAAATTGCAACTCGAGTAATACTGAACAACTTTTTCCTTTACCAAAGGAAAATTATTAGCGAATTAGTAGCGAAAAACATCGACCGATGGGTTCAAGAGAAACGATTGATTTTGGCCATGAACAAGCACATTTGCACTGTCAAGGTGTAATTGTATAACAAAGTCACTGCAGTTAAGAATCAGATCCACTTAATCATTATTTACAGATGTGGGATAAATCAGTACTATTAACTTAAATCGAGTGAATCGAATTTGTTCGATACTTGTATACCTTATTTCAATGGAATACGGAATAAAATATCGAAAATTATTCTTATCACTTGTTACAAAGGTGCAAAACAACAAATTCCTGTATTTTGAAGGAAAATTATCTTTTCTATCCAAAAAATAAGAATTAAAATCTAACAATTAATAAATATATATATCAACCTCTGTCTACTTTAAATTTATGGAAAAGGTGCTGTAAACGTTACAATTATACTTTTGATTTTAATACTCAGGTTGGGTGCGATATTTCATGAACTATTGATGACACAAGAAGTGTTTTGACGTAAACAAATTTTTTTAATGTTATTAATGTAAAATGATGGTGCAGGTCTTAATTAATATGATGGTGAAGTTTCGTTTTTTGAATGGAACTATATGTTTTTTTTCGATCACACGATAATGCTTTTGAACACGAATTTATTATGATTTAATGTATTTACCCGATTTTTATTAGTTTTTGAGATATAACGCTTAGAAATTTACTGATTCTCAGCAGATACGTCTCGATTTGAATAGTAAGTCATCAAATCAAAAGTGATAAGGGCCACTCGTTTGACTCTGTCTGCCAAAACCGATAGCCGCCGGTCTACAGTTGAAACGCCAAGACCGAACAGTAAGAAACGTGGAAAGAATTGTTCATTACGGTCTAAGTTTTCCGCATCAAGGATGATAGGCAATTCTTTGAGACGTCTAGCGCGTGATTGAAGAAAAAAAATATATTATACATGTAGCTCCATTTAAAAAGTGAAACTTCACCATCATATCTTTTACATTAATAACATTAAAAATATTTTGTTTACGCCAAAACATAGTACCCTTTTCATCCTGCAATATCCATATAAACACTTCTCTTGTCATTAATAGTTCATGGAATATCGCGGTTAGGCGTGGATACCCTGCAGACGACACGTTGTGTTATAAACGTCTTTCGTGTGAATGAATGCATAGATATTCATTTTTTTAACGGAATGCTGTCTCTGTATCATGATACTATAACCGGTGTTGAAATAACTTCCGCATATTGTTAGTTGATTGGATACTTCTCATACGACTGATTGTAAATTTTCAATATTTTGAGACCTTTAACCTGCAACTTTCCCGCTAGAATTTTATGAACTTTGATTTCTGATGAAGTTTACAATTTTATGACATCGTGCTCACGATAATACTCGACAGTAGTCCCGTGTAATCCGTAACCATTCTTGGAGTTCATCTCTCAAAACTCTGGACTTGTTTATTTATATCTACCCATTGCATCCACGGTTGCGTAGCGCTTAAAGTTATCGGTATAATAAGTATCAAAGTTAATAATTAATATTATATGGAAAATTCTCAGCTTGTTTTAATTTTCATTACTGAAGTAGTGAAAAATTATAAACGAAATGTAAAATATATGTATCTGAACCTTAATACACGTGTTTTAAAATGTCTATGCATATTAGTAGTAGTAATGAAAATAATAAAAAGGTACATAATTAAGATAGAAGTACACGATAAAACATAAATAAAAATATAAGTAGTGTAAAAGAAGATACGATACAACAGTAATACAGCATTGGGTAATAATTATAAGCAAAACTATGAATCTAAATTATATTCATATAAACAGGGTCTTCAAAAAATTCCGGACTGGATAAATAACTTGAAATGTAGGCGTTGTTCAAAAAAATGGTTGAGACAAAAGTTTTAGGAAATTTCCCTGCCTCTCCAACCGCGATCTCGGCCGTCACCTTGACCTAGACTTTAAAGATCATTTCAAGGTCAAGTCCATTTTTAAACCCCCAATTTTAACACCGGAAATGGAAAGGGCGGACAATTTCACGTTTAGATATGATCTTTGTTGTAAAATAAGACGCAGTATGATAAAGTATAACACAATATATAATAATGTATATTTAAGAGAAAAGAAATGGTTACGTGCGTACATACAGCGTGCTCGTTGAGGACTGCGAAATTAATATGCGCAAATCGGTATCTTGGCGGTCACAGCGACATCAATCGTTCGTCAATCGTACTGTCGCGTTTACCGACCATCAATCTTGACCATTCAAAAAATTTGACCTCGGAAAATGAAGTAAAGGTCAAGCTGTGACCGACTGGAAATCTTGGAAAGTAGGCGTCGCTAAAAAAAAAAATGTTTCAGCGAAACGTTGTAGGAAATTGCCCTGGCTGTTTCATGGCATAATGTTGGAAAAGTGCAACATGTGAAATAAGCACTTTTCTAAATTGTATAATTACTTACTTGCTAATAAAATATGTATTGAAATTAGGTGTCATTATTTTTTTCCCTACTTTTACAAAAATTATGCATTTAAGGGTTAAATATGACTTGGAATTTATGAATCATATTTACCTTCTAGATCAAACCATAATAACACCATGAGTTATCTTATCTTTACGGTATGTCTTCGAATTAAATTTGGAAATTTAGAGAATGGACAAATTTAGGAGTTACGTTTAGGCATTTGAAAATTTGGAAATTTGGAATTTTAGAATTTTGGGAATTTGGAAATTTGAAAACTTGAGAACTTCAAAATGTGAAAATTTATAATTACGTATCGGAATTTGAACAGCGTGAAAAACCTTAATTAATTTGAATAATTGCTACGCCACGTAATATTTAATTTAATTTAGTTCAATTTTAATTTAATTTAATTCTTTAATACAACCCAATCTGCTAAATTGTATTATAGTAGGAACTGTCACCGGAATATACATGTATTACGTATATGCAAAGGGTAAATGGTTGCTTCACGGGTCCAGAAAATTTAAACCCTTTACGCTACTGAATAAAAAAAAAAGCAGAAAAAGAAATTATTTAAATCTTGCAACATTTTTGTAACGAATTAACGGAATTAAAATAAATATTTTCAAATAGCCCACTCCTTCATAAATAAAACAAAAAAAATAAGCTAAATCAGTTGAGTAGTTTCTGAAAAAAAATTCGTCCCTTGTTTATGTATTCTTTTCAACAAATAAAATTTCTCTACACAGAATAACGACGAACAGTGGTGGGGATACTTATATCAAGTGATATCACTTTATAAACGGAAATAGTTATAAGCAAAGTTCAGTTCCGTAAAAGCCGCTGGAACGAGTGCGACAATACGACCAAAAAAATGTCAGCGTTAAATTTCTTGTTTAACTGTATCATTCTTTTAGTTGGATTTCAAGAAATTTTATCGAGATACACTACTTTCCGCGATGATTATCATTACACGAACGGAATTGGCGCGCATAAACTTCACACCAGAGCACAAACTTGGAACGAGGCGCGAAAAACTTGCATTGAGGAGGGTGGCCATTTAGCAATTATCAATTCTGTTGCGGAAGAGAACGTAAGTTCACTTGTATTTTTTGGTAACCGACTTATAAAAAAGAAAATTCTTTGTTCGCTATGTGTATATCTCGGAAAATATTCAAAGGATATTTACACACGTTTTACGGCAGTTAAAGAAGGTTTTCATGCATCATTCATTTCATTAATATTTACAAGGTGTTACACACTGAATTAATATATGTTAGATTTGGCCTTTAAAATTCGTAATTAACGTTAAACGACTGTCGTGCGCTTCTTATTATAATATAATTGTATGGTCGAAACTCTTCAACATGAAGAATTCCAATTTTATTCGATTAGTGAAGGAATCACTACGTTATTAAATTTCAAAGGACTGGACGATAGAGTAAGGATGCGGTTGGTTAAATGAAAACTCTGGATTATGATGAGTTGAACTGATTGTTTATTCGAATTATCGAGCAAGGGAAAAAGCCCGAAGGCATAAAAAACCCTTGAATTTGAAAATACATACTTAAAGTCGTATGATTGAGGCATGTGTGAGTGTGTCGCGTTTGATGATATAATGTGTACACAAAGGTTGGGCGCCCGTCAGCGATCAGTTCATCGCGTGACACCGGGTTTTTTGGGAAACAGTTCCCTTTAGTGATTTTGAATCGCGATCGTGCGGAAACCAGGTTCCGTTGGAGTCTCCAGCTTGGGGAGACGTCCAGATGTCGTCGTTAACGATGTCTATTGTGTGTTTGTTGCCGGCAGGGCCCCGCGAGTAGTAGTAACGCGAACCGTGGATTATCGTCGTCGTGAGAAAAAATATAGAAACTTTTATCACCCGGTACATGGCGAGATTGCTCGACCGATCGCGACCGTAGACCCGTAGCGACTGACTTTTTCTGTTACTGAGGCAAGGACATCGCGTTCCTTTCCTCCGAGCGTTTCGATGTTGTTTTTCCGGCGGTTTCGATTTTACTCTCCGACAAATTTTAAGAAAATTTTAATAAAAACAGTACTTTATTACTACAAAGTATAATTTATGGCGACTATATTTCGTTTGAATATACCTGAAAATTTACAATCAATTTATTAGTTCATGCACCAAGATTAATGGGAAATTAAAGCATTAAATTAAATTAAATACTGAAATAAAATGAAAATTATTGAATCTTACAAACAATCTTGCCATTGCATTAGTTTGATTTCTTCTTTGATCTACAACTTTTTGAAATTGATAATAAATACGAAGAAAATAAATTAGATAAATTTTGTCACCAATAAAATATGTAAAAATGATCTACGGAGAAAAAATATATCGTACAATTCATACATACAAGTTCTTACAATTATTGTAAGATTATTATGCACCTTTCATGATCATGTAGAGCGATAGTTAAAAAAGGCTTTCGTATAACAAATAATTATCGTATTAGAATTTCATAATCATGTTTAAATAATTTCTGAAATATTTGAAATTCATTTCCTTATATACTTGCTGTGAATCACGAATAATCCGAAATACTACCACATAAAGAACTTAAATGAATAATAACACTTTATGTTATGATAAGTTTAGCAATATATAAATATAACCAACTTCCAAAATAAAACTGTGTTCAATGTATCAAAATAAAAAGCACCTCTATTTTATTTTTCGTGATTATTTCTAAACAAAATCGGAGTAATACGAAGTATAATTAAAATAATATTTAATTTTTCATAATTGAAGTTAAATGATGTTTACAATAGATTAATTATGAAAGTGATTCGGGCTAATGACCACAGTAGTTGCCGCCCCCAATAATAAACAATAACAACAACAACAATTATGAAAGTGGTGTAAGTCCATTTATAGCTCGTAAATATACATATATTATTATGGTTACACTTGCCTAAAAGATATTTATATAATCAAATTATACATTGATAAATTAGTACAAACATTGCTAGATTTTACATAAAGTCTGTTTCACAAGAATGTGTTTAATCACCACCATTAGTGATTATTTCTCCACAGTGTCTGGGCATACCATCAACCAGCTTTACAGCGTATGAGAGAGGAAGAGATATGCGTATATCTCGAATAGAGCGAAGTAGTGTCTTCAGTTTTAAAATACGCTTTCCTCGGAGTTATTCTGTATTCGGCCCACCGTAGGTGGACGCGGATGTGCTACCCCACTCCTAGACCCCGAGTTCACTACCAAGAATCCATCTCCAAATAGACATGGCACCGGCTCGCATCCCGGTGGGGCTTTCCATGCCACCCTTAGTACCTGTGATAGCGAGAATGAACCTCAAGCAAGGTCACCGTCGAGGGCGTGGCCCCGAAGGGCGGGTTTCCCCTACAGCACATCAATTTCTGCCGGTGGCATCCGTTGCTTGGAAACCTGAGATTGGGTAGCTCCGCAACGACAGTTTTATGGGTGAAAATCGTACTGTCTGCCTCACGGACTCGTCGCGGATACTAGAGTGACTGGGTTCGTCACTCCGGCACCTCAGCGACAGCCGTTCATTCACCCGATGCACAATCTCTCGTAAATAGGACTCCTCCTACGGCGTTTGATGGGGAACCGCCGAGGACACTCATCGCGACGTCTCTCCCACGCAAGTCTACGCATCAAAGGCATCCGTTACCCAGACGTCCTGGAATTGGGCAGCACCAAGGCGGCTTTTTAGAGTAAGCGGTGCGTGGTCTCCAGGATCACGTCTCGGATACTAGGTTCAAACACCGACACCTCAAACGACGGCCCTGTCACGCAAACCTTTGGGGTCGAGTCAAGATGGCGCCCAATACGCTCCTCTCTCCTCTACCACACGTACATACCAAAGGCGGTTGCACTTTACCCACGTTCCTGGGATTACGCAACACCATGCGCAATGGTTTTATGACCCATAGCAGTGTAATCTGGCCATGGGCCCGGCTTTCCTCGGTTTGTACTTCATAAAAGACCAAACATTTTCGATTGGCTTGGTATCGGAGAACTGAGATGGTAAATCCAAAACGTTGACACCATTCGCTGTTTTCCATTCCGTAGAAAGGCGGCTTCAGTGATTGGAGTGGTTGTTCTCTTGAAATATCCAATAATCTCTGGTTTTCTTAAACCAATGTTTCACCAATATTAACACATCCCTTTGGTACAGTTTAATCATCTGGGCATTTAAATTATCCGCAGACGCATAAAGTTTTGAAATACCGACGCATAAAGTTCCGTAGCTCGCTTCGAACCTCGATCAGAGAGTTTATCGATACAATTTGTCTCTTTATAACGTTACACCTACTTATTTACAAATTCGCGAGACTTACGTAGATATTTTGTTGCATTTCTAACACTCATTTTTAGCGCCTTCGGATGCTAAGACAGGAATACTGCTGACAATCGTTCAACTTATACGGCACACATCTTGAAATTATTTAAATTTCTTCGAGACAGAAATGGTACTAAGAGAATTGCAGAGCTATTCCGTATTAGAAAAACATTTATGTTTGGACTGACGCAATCTTTGCTGCATTGGATATGAAATTTCAAAGATATCGTGTCTACGCTCTAGTGGAACAGACTGTAATTAATCTATATTTTTTAGTTGACCAATATACCAATCTTTCATTTTTTCGAAACAAAAGAAACGGACTTGCCACTTTCAAAATAAATGGTTCATATATTTTGTTTAGCTCGTTGTTCGTTCCTATGTTCAGCAAAACATCAATGAATGTAAGATGTCAACGATATAAGCAAAAGTTCAGACCAGAAGAATTGGTCGGCACCAAATATTTACTGTATGTCGTAAAATTCTTACGTTTATTAAAAAGGAATTCAAATTAATGTAAGGATTAAATCTCTTATAATTATAGTAAATTATACGTTTACTTTACTTTTATTACTTTATTACTTTTAATATTCTTTTAAAGTTCTTTCCTTTTAATTCGTTATTGAAGATTCTGGTTAACTTCTTAAGACCTCAAATTATCGATATATATACTTGAATTATCGTGAAGTTATTAACATACCGTCAACACTTAAATAACGACATTCTTTAATGAAAATCCAAATATTTTCCTGTTTCTTTTCTTTTTATTATGTGTTAAATAACAAAAGCTAAAAAATTGTCAGGTTTTTAAATTAACAATTTTTAATATTTAGACATTTTTTAAGCTTCGAATTTTCAAATTTACAAACCGCGAAGTTAAAAAATTTTCAAATTTGGAAATACAAAAATTTCTCCAATTATTGTTAGAGAAGTATGAAAGTAAATAATCATAGAAGTAACTTCTCCAATTATTAGCTTTCAAATTCTAAAATGCAAAAATATTCACAGTTGTGAGTTATATAAAAAATTTGTACACGTTGAAACTCCAAAATACAACTTAAAAAATTTAAATATTACGAAATTTGGAAATTTCTAAATTTAAAAATATTTTAATTTGCAAGTTTTAAAATTTAGAAACTTTAAAAATTATAAATGTAAAAGTTCCTAAATCAATATTTATTGTAATTTGAAATTTCCGAAAGTTTAATATTCTAAATTCTTAAACTATAACATCCCAATTTCCAAACTCCAATACTTGTATATTTTCAAAGTTTTACAATTCAAAGCCGCAAATGTTATGTTGAGCAAGACAAACAGTATGAAAAGCAAGAACTTTTTCTCAAGATTTTAAGTTGATCAATGTTTTTCAAATGAGACTATACACTTATATTATCACAAGCATGAGGTCAAGATCAATGTAATGACCTATAACACTGTGATTCTCGCGTGACCTTAAATATGATACATTTAGTATATCGTATGTGCGGACAAATCGTTATATTAAAAGGAAGCAGTGTCTAGAGAGGGAAGTGTAATATAAAAACATTTATGTTATTAGTTGTAATAGAGTAACGGTTCATACATAAAGTATAAAATTATTTTTAATGGATACGTTTAATAACTACACTGGTGTGCTATATTACTGTGATACAAATATAAGGTGAATTTTTCATTTAAACTTCGCAGGTACTATAAAATCATGAAATTATTTTTTGTGTGTATTAGTAATACAGTATTTTCTCCGTAAATGTTAAAAAGATCTCTACCGTAAATGTTAAAATTCTATCCTCACTACTGGGGGGATCCCCCTCGAAATCAGTCAAGAATGAAACACGATCGGTCGCCGAAACAACGAGGATCGAATATCGGTGAGACACATACTAATGCAAGCAAAGGAAAAGATTGCACCTTTCATGAAACTTTTACTGCCCTATTTGTCTAGTTTTCCTGATTAAAATGACACCAAACATGATATAATTACGTTAACAATTGCGTGTTTAACGAGTGATTTAGGTTTTTAACATAAAAGAGGACGACGAATGAAAAAAAAAAAGAGGCAGAAGGGCGAAGCGTTTGACAAACATGAAAGACTCGTGCGTGTTCTATCTTTCAAATTCAAAAACCAAAATTCTTTATTTTTGGTTAGGTTAGGTTAGGTTTACCTAACCAAAATTCTTTATTTTTGGTTTTTCGTCAATACAATTTTTACCATCGTATATGTCTCGTTTTTCTGATTAAAATGACATCAAACACGATATGATTACGATCGTAATTACTTATGTAACAGGCCATAAAAGTTCCGGACTTTCACACTTACGGCAAACTTTACATTTACGGCAGAGATACGCATTCCTCCTAACGGCTTGCCACATAAGTAATTATGATTTTAATTATACCGTGATTGGTGTCATTTTAATCAGAAAAATAAAACGAATACGACGATAAAGGTTTCATTCACGAAAAATCGTTATACAGTATATTGACTTCGTACAACGTCTTCACTCGCACTGGCGCCAAAATGTGCGTCTCCTCGATGTACCTATTTTATAAATGTTACAATCGGGACCCGAAGTTTTAACATTTACGGAGAGAATACTGCACTGTCTTTGATATCTATGCGTACTTTTATATCAATATATTTAATTACTGCAGAGCTACATGTGTTTTTGTAAACATACAAAAGTGAGTTTTTTGATTTTTACTATGTCTGATTTTGTTGTGCAAAGAATTTGCATTAAATTTTGTTTACGGGATGAATATTCTGCCGCGGAAATGTTATGGATGTTGCAGAAGGCCTTTGGTGACAAGGCTATGTCGCGAAAAAATGTTTACAAGCGGTACAAACATTTCAAAAAAGGCCGAGTTCGAATTTAAGACAATTAGCGTTCCGGATAAACCATCGACATGTACTGATGAACTCCGCGTGAAGGAAAACAAAGATTTGGTGCTTGCAAATCATCGATTGACAATTGAAGATCATGTCGATACTGCGAACATCTCATTTGGATCAACCGAAACCATTCTAAAAGATGTGCCTCAAACTCTTCAATTTCACATGGGACGATACTGCGCTGCCCACACTGCATTAGTTCTTCGAGAGCATTTCACTAAAAAATGGACTCATATTGTTCCACAACCACCGTATTCATCTGATTCAGAACCATGCGACTTCTGGCTGTTTAACAAACTCAAAAGACCGTGTTTAGGACACGGTTTCGAATCGACTGATGAGATAAAAGTCAAATCGACGAAAGTATTAGAGGCAATCACTGAAAAGGACTTGTTTGACTGTTTCGAGAATTGGAAAAAACGTTGGCATAAGTCAATCATTTTTTTGGACGGTGAATACTTTGAAAGTGATGAGATTGATTTAGGGGAATAAATTAAGATTTTTCATTTCATAAACAAATTTATCTTACTTTCTGATCAAAGTAGTAGGTATAACACTAACGAATATTAAACTCTATTATAGTTAAATATTCAGAAAGATTAGCAAAATTGTATATAGCGTCTACTGTTTAAAGTTTACTGAAACATCTACGATACAACTTTATCAAATTGCTAAATCAAAAAATAATGCGTTAAGCAGATGATAAAAGTACTTCTAACATTTTGATAGCAATTATTAAAAATCAGTAATTGTAGCTATTTTATTATCGGTATACATTATCAGACAGCTATAAATTCGTCGTGTTCAAAATGATATCAAGATTATACTGTTGCAGATCATTGAATTATTTTTACCTACTTTACATACTACTATTTTCGCTAATTTAAAATATCGAAACGTACGACCTTGAGAACAAGCTTTTATTTACCGTAATGTTTGTGTCACTCATATTATAATTTATATTTTTGACATTTCTGTATATCATTGCCAATAACGGACATGCTGCCTTGTTTGATAAAGATATGCATATATTTTTAAATGAATTATACAAAATAGGTGCACCAGTCGGTCGATCTTACCTTGATCAGATAACAGCAACAAACCGGACTGCAAAATAATCTGAATTATTCTAGTCAGATAGATGTATCGTGAGTCTTGATATGATTCTCTTTGCTTCTTAGTTCGAAAGTTAATTTGCATCGATCATAATAAGTTTGCTTCGCAATTCGATTTTAATAATATTATCTGAAAGAGAAACATGTGTTTCAATTTATGATAACTCATCAGGCTTGAATTAATTATTTTATTATCCGTGTTTCTGCTCTTTTACACATCATTAACGCTCAAGAAATGACACCTATCAAAAAAGTAATTTATAATGATTGTGATTAGAAGTACGTCGGTAGTGTCACTTGCACTGAATTCCACCTTAAATTCTTTATTTATTCCTTCCAGGTATTAAAGGCTTTATTTCTAGATGCGGGTCCCATAATAGGTACCAATGACGACTACGAAGCCTTTATAGGTATACATGATCAGTTCGCAGAGGGCGACTGGACCACGGTACACGGTGATTCACTATCAAAAACTGGCTTCACGAAATGGAGTGATAGGTGGAATGGACAGCCAGATAATTGGAGTTCTAAACAACATTGTGGCGCACTTTTAAGGGAAGGCGGAATGGACGATACGTACTGTTACAAACCGTTTGCGTTCTTCTGCGAACTGCCTGTTTCGAGTTAATCTGCACTCGAGTGGTAATGCGAAGTTTTCTCCAAGACCTTTCAAGTGAAGTACAACAATCATTTATGCGCGTAGTCGTCCGAACATGCATTCAGTAACATACGCAGATTCAATCTCAGTGTGGTTTGCGAATGCGTACGCTTATCCTAAAAACCCAAGGCTATGTCTATCATTTGCAAATTGTAAATAAGGAGAAATACATTATTTTATAAAATATTAAAATTAATTCCCCCTTTTCTCTCTTTATTACAACATACACGCTCAAAACTTTGAAATTCTAATTTGTAGCCATGTTAAATCAGTGCAAAGATGGGTGGTCGCAGGAAATCACAAGGAATACAGGGTACTCTGGAAAACAGGAATTTTTATTCGGAAGTTAAGGAAAGCGTACAGGAAATGGGGTCACAATTTTTCTTTATTACTTTATGTAACGTATCCAACATGACTATTTAATATGTTTCTTTAACTCTCAAATCAACCAGGCGTCCAGGAGTAACTCTGTTCTCTCCCGTTCGAATGGCATCCAGTTATTTTCTCCGAACTCTCCATAACAAACGGGCGACCAGGAGTATTCTCCCGTACTTTACTGTATTTTACTCGGGGCGTCCAGGAGACGCTCTGTCCTCTCTCGATCGACAGGCATCCAGGAACGCCGAACTCTCCATGTCGACCGAGTGTCCAGGAACAAACTCCCGTACTCCCCCTATTCACCAGACAGGCGTCCAAGAGGGTTTCGCCGTACTCTCTTGCCTGGATCTTAATCGTTATCTCCGGGTGCGCGTCGAGGAATTGTTGGAGACTCCCCCGCCGGAGTCTCCAACAGCTAAGTTCTTCTCCACGCAGGCGTCCAAGTATTATTATTGCCGAACTCTCCTGGCGGAGTCCCTAAGCTAGTCCGAGAGCGGCCAATGGTCCGTCCTTACCTTGTCCTCTCTTCCAGACAGCTAAATAGGCCGGCACTTGCCGTGCAATTCTATTTTATATACGCCGGTTGCTATCCCGCGGCCGCGCTATCAACAACGCGTCGCTAAGTTCGCGCCTTGCTTCTCGCTCCGCTGAGCGGCCAAGGAACTCTCGCATCGCGACAGAATTTCGATTATTCTAGGACATTCGCTTTTTCTCGAATATTCGCGACGCTAAGTAATATTTCGACCTATTCTATGCTATTTCTAAGGGATTTATAATGGATTTTTACGTCTGATTCTTAATGAATGTTATTACTTTATTCATTCGCGTTTTACACATTTTTCTGCACGTTACAAATTTAATTTTTCTTCCTTCCCTCGCACTCTATTGACTTTTTCATCTAAACTTTTCATTCACATAATAACAATAGGTTCAATAACAGAAATATGAAATTGTTCTGGTACAATGAAAAAAGATCTCGTATTATGTATGTTTGTATTATATTGGCTAATCTACAGGGTGTCCGCGCCAAAGTGTTACACCTTAATATCTCATGAACTATTGATGTCACGAAAAAGTGCTTATATGGAAATTGCAGGGTAAAAGAGGCCCTATGTTTTGGCAGAAGCAAAATTTTTTTATTGTTATTAATGTAAAAGATATGATGGTGAAGTTTCGTTTTTTTAAATGGAACTATATTTTTTTCTCGATCAGGCGATAGTGCTTTTCAAGACGAATTCATCAAGGTTTTATGTACTTACCCGATTTTTATTAGTTTTCGAGATATAACGCTTAGAAATTTACTGATTTTCAGCAGTGACATCTCGGTTTGACGAGTAAGTCATAAAAACGTTCTTATTGTTACGGTAAGTGCCGCTGGTTTGACTCTGCCTGCCGAAACAGATAGGCGGGGTGTATGGTCAAAATGGCAGGTCCGAAGAGTAAGAAACGTGAAAAGTATTGTCCATTACGGTTTAAGTTTTCCGTATCGAAGATGATATTAATTGTAATTTGGAAGGTTGGGACATTT